CCCCGTTCCCCGTTCCCCGTTCCCCGTTCCCCGTTCCCCGTTCCCCGTTCCCCGTTCCCCGTTCCCCGTTCCCCGTTCCCCGTTCCCCGTTCCCCGTTCGCCGTTCCCCGTTCGCCGTTCCCCGTTCCCCGTTCCCCGTTCCCCGTTCCCCGTTCCCCGTTCCTCGTTCCCCGTTCCCCGTTCCCCGTTACCAATTTTAGTAACATCCATCTCAAATTGGTCAAATGCTTGATGTTTTCATGAACGTTGAAAATCGTATGCATCACAAGAAGAGGGTCTCAATGGGGCTAACCGTTAGCCGTAAAAGGGCAAAAATTTTGTCGTTAGGCGTAAAAACTGACAAATTTTAACCGTTGGGCGTAAAAAAAGTTATCAGAGTCCAGTTCCTCAAAACTGAAATATAATTTCGATAAGATAACGAGTTTAATGACCCAAAATTAACGGCGTATGATTTGAGTTAGTAACGTAATTGTCAGTTACCAGCTGGTAAGTTTGCCCATCTTTAGAATGAAATGGCTCAAGGAAAGCGTCATTGCTTGAAATGATGACGAATGACGTTAAAACTTAAATGTGTCACTGTTTCTGTTAAAAGTTAATTTTTTAAACGCACAATTCAGCTCTTTATTTCGTCCTGCGGAAAAGAAAAATCCCAAAATTTGAACTAAAATCGTCAAACCAACAAGCGGTATTTAATCGATTACGAAATGAAAAAGACAAGAGCGAAAGTCTTTTTCAATTCATGGATACAATAGTTTATATTGAACAGCTTACGAGAGAGCTTCCATTGACACCTCAGTCACTGACTGGTCTCATGTCTCTCCTAACACTCCGATGTGCATGTTTCAATGACAATTCCAAGTCAAAATACGATTTATGCGCACAGAAATAGTTTTCACTAATCCAACATAATGGGGCTGGTGTATTCTTTGTTTTTGGTGACGTTTTTGTTTAAAGATTTTTGCGAAAGTCAACAAAAGGCGGCCAGGGACCATTACGACGGCTGCAGAACCACTTACATTAGAAAGGAGTCAAGCAAAGGAAGGCTCGCAAAGTAAATAGAAAAAAAAAACTTTTAAGACAAACAACTGGAGAATGATGAACAGTCGAAACTATTATACAGTAATGATGGCAAAACTGAGCTGACTTTTCACCACAAAATTCCCTGAGAAAAGAGGCGGCAGCAAAATGGAAAACTGTGCCAAGAGGGAACCGAACAAAACTCGCTCTCACATTATTCCATTTTGCTCGTATACCTCATGACCGAAACGGTGAAATAATTCCCTTTCTTTCAGTAATCATCAAGAATAAAAAGGCCTACTTTTCCCTACCTTCGAAAACGCTTGGATCTCTTCCAAGTTCCTCGCCGCCTAATCAACCAGCAAGTGTTTCTCGAAACGCCTTGTTAATCTAATGCATACCAACTTTGCCGAATGTAATTCGGTCATTCAATCGACCAATTAGATCATTTGGAGCACGAGGCCTCCTTACATCTAGCACAAATCTGTGGTTATTTTAAGAACAGTCTATTAAGAATCCTTCTTACCCTCGCGGTGTTTAAAAGTACTCTGCATTTGTGGAACATTGTAGACAATATAATAAATATTTAATGAGGGCGGCCATATCAATGGCTAGCTTCAAAAACGAGCGAAAAATAACTTCCGATATCTTGTCTTGAAAGCTGGAATAATAAGTATTTAAACATGAGAATAGTCTGTTAGATTTTTAACACCCTTTTTTAACACCCTGGTTCAGCATCAAAGTGAGATAAATGACCGCAGTAAGTATTTCGCTTTGGAGCCGTTATCAATACCTAAAGCAAAGGGTACGGTGCACGAATCACGACATACTATCCTGTTGCTTCAATCAAACTGCAAAAACAGCAAAAAAGAGACGATTTATGTTTTGCGTTCAAGCAGCGAGGTACTCGTTTATCGCAGAGGGAAGAACAAAGATTTGTCTTTCAGCTCCCCTAAATTGATTTGTGACATGCAACAAGTGCTGTGATCTGACAACGAAGTGGCAAAGTACCGCAAAAATAAAGCCTTGAAAGGAAGTATAAATGCCGCAGTTTAACCGCAGTGCTAAGATATAAAAATTACCTACAAAATTTTTTCTCATAGTGTTTGTCAATTATGTAGCAACGAGATGCAGCTTTAATTTTTGTGCTTTGAATTGCATTAGAATGAAGATGAATGACCACACTTGAACGCACGTGCTGGGCTGGTGGTCTTTCAATGCATGACAGCAGTAGATCAGGGTGGGGTTTATTTGACAATAGTGAGCTGGACTCTTGAATACTTTCTGCTCAAAATAACAAAAAGACAAACAATTGGAAACATTTTGGAAACAGCCTATTCAAATGCTTTTACAGTCCAAAAGAAACGGCTTCGACAAATATTTGTTTTTTCTTTTAAACCCATTTCAAAGAGGAATTCAACATGGCTTTTAAACGGGACAGAATTGCCACGATGCTTTTGATGTAAACAAATGACAAGGAATTCAAAACCCTGTCGTACCTGCATAAAATTGCAAAAATAAAATTCACGCTTTTCTAGAATATTAATGGATAGTAAATCTTACAAATTTCAGTGACATTTCAAAGTAAATAACACAAATTTGTCAAGATAATTAATCGTACCTTGTATGTCAACGAACGTTGCTGATTTGCTTTTAGCAGGGTTAAGGAGGCTAACGTTTCAACAAATTCAACTTTCTTTTACAACGTCTTCGAACCATCAATTCGTTTGACATTTTCGCAATTAAATTGACTGTTTCTCTTACGGCCATATGGCATTTTTCTGAGAGCTAACAAATTGAAAGTTAAGTTTCAAAATTGACACTCTCTATAATGATATCACCCTTGCATATAAACGGATTATAGCACGCGATGTATAAGCTCCAGTTTTTAAATCAAATGTAACAAAAAATTGATCACGTATAAAATCGCTAAACATCCTCATATGAGGAGATATAATATGCCTACGTACAGCAGTTGGTGTGTCCAGCAAAAGCTTTTAAACGATAAGTGCTCAACTAAAATTTACAAGAATCGATTATCTCTCTTAGTGGAGGTCTGATATTTCCTATGAAACCTAAAACAAGGTATGTATCTGTGGTGTAAATTTCAAAATATTTAATGGCATAAAATTGGCTTAAATTAAATACAAAAGCATGTAATACTTCGGTTGTTGCCTAGCACTGCAGTTGGGTTGTTTTACTAGTGGTGTAAAGCAAGAACATATTCTTATAATTCCAGTTGATTTTGCGTGTCTTGTTTCCACTTCCTGTCACTTGAATTAATTATTCATTATAAACATGATACTTTGTAATGAGCTAAGAGTGAAGCCGAAGTCCTAAAATGGAACTCGAAGCTGAAACCTTGGCTGCTGGGTCAGTTAAAGCCTAGGCAAGCCAGCTGAACAAGATGTGGAAGCCACTTAAGAATCTCTTGAAATTCGGTATTCTTGCTTTCATTTCCCGTCTGTCGCAGCTTTTAGTGAGCAAATTCTTCCATTAATGCACTTTTTATCGTATGTACAGACTTCTGCCATCTGTTACTCGTGGAACCTCTCTTCCATATCGAACAGAGACAAACTGTCAGGCACATGGCTAAGGCGAGTTCTTTACGACTCTTAGCTTTGCATGGTGGAATATCAACAAAACCTTTACGCGTTCACAAAGGAGCAGCGTTTTCAAGCGAAAAACATCTGTATCCTCCTTTTTAATCATTAATGAAGAGTTATTGGCTGAAGCGTACTTGTCAGTAGCTTAAAACTTCAACGCTTTTCCTAAACTAAATGGTGTAACATTTACATCAAGGAGGATGACAAAAAGATAGTAATTAACGCAACGAAGACAGCCTTCCGAAGCCGATTGCCTCTGTATTGACTAGCATTTATCATTGCTCACACTTTTGTTCAGTCTAGTTTGAAAATTACTGCATGGTATTAGTTACTTGTAATATTCATCTTACTTAAGCACCCAGATTTTTTCCCGCCATTTTTTGGCGCATGTGCAGAGCCTCTGCACTCATGTGACAAATTTCTGTGATGATTGTAGCCTGCACTCACCTTTGCGCTGTTTTCAAAAGGATCAAAAACGTATCAGCTTCCTTCAGTGAGTGTCAAATAACTTTTTCCTGCCAAGGTTGTACTTATGCTTCAAAACAAATTCTTTCAGTTTAAATAAAGGCTTACAGATGTTCTCCAGACAACACGATTCCATTTGATCCTCCATAAATTGGTCATTCTTTTTACCAATGTTCTTTAGTGTTAAACGCTCCCCAGAGCCAAATGATCGCGGATCACGGGTGAACTTGTGAATCGATGTTTTACCAACATAACAAGCAGTCACTACAACGATCCTATTTGTTACAAAAATACCTAAGAACTTCTTAACATTAAGTACTGTAGTTTAAAACCAACTATTGCAGTAATTGGTTTTACTGAAACGCGCAAATGTTTACAGATATGATTTTATTTCACGCTACCTGAAGTTACTAGTAAATTCAGATAATTCAAGATGCTTCTTTCATTTGCCTCGACCGAAAAAAAACGATGCCAGGTGCTAGGTTTTGCATTCAATTTCAAGGTCATAACTGTCCTTTGATAACCGTCCTTTCAATCAGTTATACTGCTATTGAATTACTTCTGGGAAATTTACGTTTTGCCTCTAATTCAGTTGTCAGGATTCACAATTCTGAGAACTAATATACGGGCATGGTGTTCAATATACAAATATTCAAATATACCGTTTACGCATATTACACTCAGTTTCAGTCGTTTGAAACTTGTTCATGAAGACCAGTCCGTTGGAAAAAGACTAAAAATTTGAGTCGTGGTAAATACCAGGCTTACTAAATCCTCCGGAACTCCTTTCGTGACCAAGCGCGAATAACAAACTTTTTTTTCTGATTTATCAAAGATTTTCCGTGTTGCGGTTAAATGATGTTATTCTTAATGAGGTAATGGCCTAGACGAGAGTAATATTATATAAAACAATCATTTCTATAGTGCAGAATAAATTGCTTGCTGGATAGTACAAAGTTCCGCATACATTGTCCGCGATCAAATACAGGTCCGACTTCAGAAACCCCCACACGGGCGCGTATTCCGTTTCCAATGAGGAATGTCTTATATTGCTCGGGAAATTTTTCAAGTTTTCCGTTTCCAGGTTTCCTATATAAGATGAGCATTTAGATCTAAATATCTCACACGGATATATGTGCAAGGATATTTTTCTTTCAAAATTTCCTTGAATTGTACTTTTTGCCGCGAAGGAATGTTAGGTTAAGCCTTCTTACTCAAGATCGACATTAACAGACAATTCGGTCTCAGAATTTCCAAGAAGGAATTGGCTCTTTGTAGATATGTGTAACAATTTATTTTGATTCTCTGCCAGACTTGAATATAGCGCTATCCCGGTTTAGCTAAAAACTTGTCGCAAAAAAAAAAAAAAAATGTAGATGGTCTTTTTAGTTCTCAATCTATATTTAAACGCACTTGAGAGAATGAGCATTAGATACTGTCTTCGAAAAGCTTCGTTTCTAAGTAAACAAACAAATAAAAACCTAGTATTTCTCTGCCGGGTACTCCATCAACAATATTTTGTAGAGCTGCCAATAAACATGTTCACGTAATGAGTGAGTAATTAAATCTACTTTGCATATACACACTCTATGAGTCAGCTTGTTTTCGCCACTTTTCGATAACTTATTTTGATGCATTTTGAGTTGAAGGAGCCACCACACTTTACAAACAGGCCTTGATTTCGTATTCTATAGCCGAAATGTTTTCTATTTTAAGAAATTAAGCTGCACAAAGAAGTGTAAACACGCGCAGTCTGCTGAGCCAAACTGTCATGGCGGGTCATGACACAGCCACCGGAATGCGGAATTTTTGAGAACAATAATTATTGTCGGCATGGAAGTACAAAAGGTTAAGGGTATATTATCTTTTTTATGCCCCGTAAGAGTGATACAAGAAAGTTTTCCTTGTACTTCCACACATCTGGAGATCTAACGAAGGCAGCATAGTTTTGCTATCAAAACGAACTAAATGACCAGCTTCGAGGACGAAGAGAAGAGATAGCTTTATTCTGGTGAGTACAGTTTAACTGGCTTGGACCTTATTTTAATAAATAAGACAGTGGAGAAACATAGAGCTCTACAAAATTAACATTCAGATTGCACTTTGAGCCCATCGACCTAAACCAAACCACCATTGAAGAGTTTTCTGCAATAAATCAACGGGATATTGTCGCCATTTATGTGAGCATGCTTTGGTATAAAGCCTCGTGGGACAGAGTGGTTTGAACATCACTTCCATGTGGACATATTCAGCCTGCAGCAGTTAAATCTTAGAGAAATTTTGCGGTCAGCAGGAGAAAAAATAAACAGAAGACGCGCTCACAGACATGTTCCCTTAAAAAACATACGTGGTGTTTGCTTCCTTTCTTTAACCGGTCAGCCAACATACAGCCATTTGATATCAACCTCGTAATCTCCTCCACGCCTCATGTTAAACAGTGCTCTGTTATACAATGAATGGCTTTAAAACGATTTTTCCTGTTCTCACTTGTGGTGTGCCTGGCTTGAAAAAAACCTTTGGTTCATGGCCTGCGGTCATGAAAACAAACGGGAAAACTTGAAAAATTAGTTTTTCACTGCACAAGAAAACGAACAAGGAAAAAATTCGAACAAAGTTACGCAGGGAGAAGAGTCAGTGAATAATTCAACACGTTTTTCTCGACATTAGAACAAAAACGGCGGAAAAGGAAAGTGTATCCATCGATCTTGCGCTCCGGAAATTCTTTGCATAAATATAATCCATCGAGATCATATCAAATCATTACATATACGTACAATTCAAATCTGCTTGGGCCAACTTGTTATAAACGCTAGCCAAGTTTTAGCCCCAGTTCAATACAGAGGCTCAACAATATGCATCACTTGTAATTTACTACTTCAATTCAAGGTGAAAGAAAAGGTAAAGTTCTGAAACAAGTTTGATCTTTACGTGACTGTAGACAACACAAAGTTCAGTATTTGATCCAAAATTGTATTTTGTATCCCAGGAGAAATATTAACCTAACATCGTAAATAATACTTTAACTTAAAATATACCCATCATCATTTTAATACCTCTCAGATTCGACGCTGCAGATCTGGTTTGTGTCAACGATTGAGAGGGAATTATTGAACTTAAGTTACTATGATAAGTTAATGTTTAAAAAAGTAGGATGCGCTGCTAAAAAAATACACAGAAAAGGCCTTTTGTGTGTCGCTGAAAAGCAAAATGAGTAAACACCTTCTAAAAATAACCAGTGGAACGAACTTTCCAACCTCACTGCTTTTCAAAATTTACCAGTGCATTCCACTTGATAATGAAATACAGCGTTAAAATGTCTACTTTTGAAGTCCGCTTTCGTTGACACAAAAGAGGTTTAGTGTTATAGTTCAAACATAATGTTTAAATAATGAAATCGTGCATGCTTCTTTCTCACGTAGCATAAACCAGCTGGTTACAAATGGAAGACAAAACCGGCCCAAAACAAGAAAACACAAAGGACTACACTGGAGGAAATGGTTATTGTCTGATCGACGAGAGAACTCTAAATTTAGTCTTATATGGTTCTCAACAAGTCAGGGTTATAGATTTGCAGAAACTGAAACGGAAGGCCGGAGATGAACAAGGTACGAAAATAGCTTATTAACATGACGGTAAAAGCAATCTTTTATCGAGTGCGCCTGACAAAATCGCTAAAAACAATATCACTGATATTTTTGATAAAGGAGGGAATTTAACTCAGCTCTTAAAACTACCATGAAGCAATACAAGCCCGTTTCTACTTCCAAAGAAAACCGTACCACAAAGTGTCTAGAGTGTTCACGAATATGTTAATATTCAGGATAGCATTGATAACGTTGTTATTCTCTTTTGTCGACATTGCATTAATTTGATTGTTCTAAAAAGTTCCGCTTTCAATGTTTTGTTTACGAGGTTTCTGCGCCTGCCCTGAAGGATTACCACAAAAAATTTGCATGGGCAGAAATTTCAAGCCAATATATTGCCTTGTGCGTATTGTTCACTTAAACTTTCCTTCATGCAGAGGTAATACATTTCGGATGCAGTGGAAACATTTGAAACTCGGCAAATCCTGTGCAAAAATTTCATCAAATAAAAATTGCGTAAAAAGGAAAACGTGCGAGTTTTCCGGTTTATCTCGAGGTTTCAAGTGACAATAATACGTCTTTGTCTTTGACAGTTGTGAAAAGAGTTTTATTCATTGGTATCTGGGCCACAAATTAACTGTTCATTTTCGAGATCCTCTTTTCAAATACACATTTTTCAATAGCCATAGAGTGCATTTGAGTCAGAAGAGTTTAGGCTCCGGTGAAAGGTTTTAGAAAGGGGCCTTTTTTGAAATGAAGGTAAAAAACAGATCAGAAATGATCTCTCATGCTGCGGTTTGGTCATGTGTGGTCTGTTTATTCTGTAAGTAAGAGCTCTTTATAAGCATGTCAGGGATCTGCATTTGGTTTGACAGGATTCCTAGCTTTATTTGTGGCACCATTACTTTGTTTATGTCCTTATTGTTTATGCTGTGATCTCGATTCACGGTGTAGAGGCTCTGGTAGTCAAGGTCGTGGCTAGCTCTCTTCCATCGCACTACGCGATCTCGGACTGCTACATTTTTCATGACATCTGACAGGCACGTGATTATGACGCATGTCATGTCAGCCTCTCAAGTATTCTATCGACTTTAATCACTGCCCTACCCGCGAGTGGGAGGCGATGTCCAGACTTCAACACTTTCAAAAATAATTGTTGTACAGTTCTTAAGAACAGAACAAACATGCGTTTGACCTCATAAGTTGTCTCGATAAGGTTTCCTAGTTATGGGTACTCGTGGTATCTAAAGTATTTTAGATTATGTAGTTTTAACAGTTTTTGAGTACTTTATGTAAATAGTGAATGTTTCTTGTGAGTCTTTAGTTTTTAGCTAGTATGACGGATGTAGAGCTACCATGTAGAAATACTGTCGATAAATCATCATTATTATTATCATTATTATCATTATCCTTGTTTGAATTATCATTATTATTTATTACAGGAGGTTTGTCTTCAAAAAAACAGAAGAATACCGCAGACCATGAGATGCCTCGGCTCACAAACGCTATTCGATCATTCCCGGATGAAGTGCACCTCTGTATATCAAGTATTCCTGGGGCTGGTTATGGAGTGTGCGCGAGAGAGCACATTCCGCTGGGCACATGGATAGGTCCATATGAGGGAAGCCGGCTGCCAGCTCGAAATTTTCCGTCAAATTATGAAACAACATATCTATGGGAGGTAAGATTTGAACAGCATTTAGTGTGTTCTTATATGGAGTCTAGGCTTTGGTAGATAGTACTGGCATAATTTTAAGCATAATTCAGCAAAACGAGCATTATTTTCAGCTTTTATTTCAGTTTAGCACTGCTGGCATAATCCGAGCTTTCATGCGTTGAAAACAACAACAACAAAAAAAAACCATCATAGCTCTAGAATAATTCAGTTTGTATTTTATTTTTGTATTGTTTTTGGAAAATATTGAGGTCTGTGCTAAGGCCCAGGTCAAATATGGTCCGGCAGGCGGCAGAGGTCACCCTGTGCATAAGACTGAGACTCAGGCCACCACGCTTATGGCTGGGCGGCTCGGCCCCTCAGGCCTCAAATCAAAGATGGTGTCGTCCTCGAGTACATCCACTTCCACCACTTCAAGCACTTCCAGTGCCATACCGAGAGCTTTAATCTCTAGAGAACGTATCATTTGTATCATTTGTTAATCATTTGGCTTTTCGAGGTACGCACATGCGTATTTGCGATGCTAAAGACTGTAAGACTGGAAGGTGGACTATGTGAATGTTCATTAAAGTCAAAATTGATAGAGTTAAGCCACTGATGATCTTTATTTTCCTTAAAATCAGTGTAAAATGTAAGTAGCATAATTTGGATGACAGAGAGCATAATTTTCAGAAAGTAGCATAATTTTAGCATAATTTCTAAAAAATATGAGCACTGCTAGAAGCATAATATGGTTTTTTTTCGAGCACAATCTACCAAAGCCTAATGGAGTGCAATCCTTAATATGGGGCTCAATTCTTAATATGGGGCCCAATCCTCTTGAAGTATTTTAAGATTTTTCTCCTTTTTCGGAGTTCCTAAATCTATATGTCTGTAAATATATTTTGAGCCATATATAACTTGAAAAATAATTCAGAGAACAATTATAAATAGGTAAAATATTCTAAATATATATCTTCCTATAAATATCTGATATGGTATGACAGGTGTCTTAAAGTTCATGTTGTGGATATATTGTTTATCCAAAACAAATTAATCAAAATTGTGCGTTTATTTTGAGCATAACATTATGACTATCAACATATTTCAAGGAAATAGATATACTGACTCCATATAAAAGATTTAAAAGATTTAGGATTTCTTTAGAGATCTAATTCCGGAAAATTGTTATCAATATGTTGGGAGAGAAATGATTAAGGTTTTTTTTAGGACTTGGAAATAATTCATAGTGTGGTAACCCAGTAAGTTACAGGGAGGAGGGGGCAGGGAGTTGAACTTGGAGCGCGTCTAGTATCTTAACCCCACGGTCAAGTTGCCCCTCGTCCTCTTGCCTCGCTACACCTGCGCAACCTGACGCAGTGAGATGTTGAATATTCAGATTCTTGCTTTATAGATCTACAAAGATGGCCGACTAAGTCACTATATTGACGGACGCGATGAACACAAGTCCAGTTGGATGCGATTTATTCAATGTGCGCGTCATGTGAAGGAGCAGAATCTGTACGCTTTTCAATACTGTGGCAATATTTTTTACCGAGCGTTCAAAGAGGTTCCGCCAGGAACAGAATTACTGGTCTGGTATGATGAAAAATATCCACAATTCCTTGGAATTCCTCTAGGTATTCAGGACTATGAACTCTTCAGAGAATCTGGTAAGGCAATGCTGATTTTTACCACTTACCTAAAAAAAGGATTTCTTATTTTCAATATCGGGTTTAAAGAGAACTAGTTAACGTTTCAGTTGAGAATAATTTGCAAGGTTTTGTTTCGAGTTAGTCAAACTAACAATTAAAAAGGAAATATGTAAGCAGTATAATAAATGGAGAAGTTACCCCTATATCTTATTGTCATATTTTTAAATCAGCGACCAAGAGTTAGTGTGTAAATCGAAGCCACCAAGCATAACTTTCAAGTGTTTTATCTGTTCTGAGTAACCCAACCTTCTCTTAATGGCCTTTTGAAATATGCTAAGAATTCTTGATTCCTCAGAATGAGAACCCCATTACAAACTCTCACATTGCTTGTAAATTAAGACCGCCTGACTGAGATGTTACGTTTATCTCTCCTTTTTTATTTCACAGTGCCATCTTCCAATGCTCAAAGCTCTCCGGTCAGCAGTCCCGCCAGTTCGTTTGTCGACCCAATGGCACGATTTTCAAAAACCTGCGGATTTCAAGAATCACGTGATAATCCTAATATGGGTAATTTTAGATTCCCTTCACCACGTGAGCCAGCTCCACGCTTCGTGCGCCCCGCGAGTAGTTTGGGTAATGTTTTCCCTCGAGACAAGCTTGGCACTTCTGGAAATAGAGGTAGCCCCAGCATGGCTGCAAGTTCGGTTGAAAGTATAATGGTTAAGACAGATTTAACTGCAACGACGACAGTTGACAGACAATTTTCCAGGAATCTTTTGCAAATGCCTACGTCCAATGATGACAATTTTTATTCATTGCAATTAAGGAACAAGGACTCGCGAGAAAAAGTTTTGAAAACTGAAAATTCAACCCGAGGATATTTGTCTGATAAACATTGGGAACAGCAAAGAGATGAGGATTCCTTGTCTAATCACGAAAGAAGACTGCCACCGAAAATAAACGCTTTGCGTGAAATGCCGCCCTTACAATTCTTCGATAGTGAGTACTAAATTTATTCACTTTAAAAAGAAAGCTTCCACACAGGGTCGATTTAATAAAATTAGGCTTGTTTATGAAAGTCCTTAGCATGTAACCCGTTATTTGCAGGCCGACGCGTTTCATAGAGGCTTTCATTTGCTTTCGACGCATTCAAATATTTCCATGAAATGAGTCCTTTTTTCAAGGGTCGTATTTTAAAGCTTGTTAGGCTGGAACATAACCTCTTATGGGTTAACGTATTGGCATGCCGCTTGTTGATATAAATCTTAAGATAGCAACGCCAAAACTATGACTTTTCCAGATGATCAACAAAATTTTCCACGCACAAGTGAAGGACAAGCTCTCAAGCGGAACGGAGAAGCAGCGAAGTGTGTAATGCCTGCGCTTCGTCCAGTCATACCCCCACTTCTCCACACGCCCCAACATCATGAATACTCAGGAACTAACATATCAGGAATCTCTCTGTCTCCGGACGAATTTGGCATGTGGAGGTGCCGGCAGTGCTTAAAGACTTTCACTCAGCGGGTTCTTCTTCAAATGCATGAGTGTTCCCAGACCCCTGATAAACCGTATCAGTGCGGCCAGTGTACGCTTTCATATGGGACGCCGACAGAACTCAGAAGTCACGTGGACACGCATACCAATGAAAAGTTGTTTAAGTGCGGGTTCTGTTCGCGCTCTTTCTCAGGGGCTACCACCTTAAATAACCACATACGTACTCACACTGGCGAGAAGCCATTCAACTGAGAGAAATGCCACAAGACATTTTCACAAGCCAGTCATTTAGCGAGACATCAACGAGTCCCTGGGGACTGTGTCCCATAGCAGATGGAATAGATAAAAAATCAACTTTCCTGTTGCAAATTAATAAACAGACTCGGTTAATATGCTCTCTTGCGATCCAAATCAGATCATACGGTTATTTTCTTGGGAGGTTAAAACTGTGCAATTTGTAACACGGGACTAAAAGCAAGGATGTCGGTGCAAATAAAGAAACTTCAACCTCCCAATTGAATAATCAACCGATCTGATCGCTGGGAACACAGTAGCAACCCGCCAAGCGGCCCTATCTTTCCAATCCATGCTTAAGCGATCGAGATGTTAAAGAAATCCAGACCAAACGATCATCGACCAGCACAATCGGGAACATCTCTTGCTTCCGAATAGAATTGGATTTGTGCTTAAAAGAGCACTCTTACGAAACCGCCCTATAATTTGAAAACCCGAAAAATTCAGTTATTTCATTATAATATGAATTTTTAGCGATTAATAAAGCCTTTTCAATAATAATTTTAGTTGAAAGTCAATTCTAGGGCGAGAAATTACGATTTGAAAACCGTTCCGCCATTAATTTTCGTAATCACGGCCAACTTATCTTCGGTCAGCGGTCACTCCCATTGTGACGTAGATTACTCAAAACACTGTTGGCGTCATTTTATATTTATACGGAAACCTCGTGAAATTTAGTGAAATAGTCTTAAAGGTAAAAGGTAAA